TACATACAATTTTAGAAAAGTCACAGATGTCTTAAAGCCTACATATATGAGTTCCTGAAGTTTAAAGTATATCTGGTTAATGGAAAAGGATGGAACCTGATATCAACCTAAGAATAAATGAGTAAACAAAAGATTAATACACAGTGGGAAAAGGATTATTTACTAATATAATCTCTGCCATAAATGGTTATTCATTGAAATTACAATCAACCTCTTTATACATATGAATAGTTTAAAGAGTGAAATGTAAAAAACTAACAAAGTACAATCAAATATAAGGATATACACACTAAGGGTCCCCAGAAGCCTTCTTAGGCAACATACGAAATCTACTTGTAAAATTTAAACCTTCTGAATAAGCAGCACATACCAGTCAAAAGAGAAAGGACAGACTCAGAGAAAAACAGATACAACACATATGACAGATGAAAACTTACTAATTTTAACATTAAAAAAAAACTAAATATTAGTGAACTATCCAATAGAAAAACTGACTAATAAAAATGAACCAGCAAGTAAAAAGGCAATAAACATACGTAAATATGTTCAACCTAACTAGAAACTAAAGAAATGTAAGTTAATTTAGCAATGTTTTATTTCACAGCCTCAGATTGGTAAATATTAAAAGCTGATAGCTTCCAATGCTTCCTTATGTGTTGGTAGTGTACCTAGATCACTATAACCTTTCCAAGAAAAAAAAATTGCTAAGTAACAGGTTTTAAAATCTGCTAAAACATAAAATCATGCATCCTTTGTCCTAGCAATCTCATATAGAAATGTATTCTAGTAAAAAATGGCATCAATGGATAAGGAGTTAAACAGATATATACAAGAATGGTTCTTTTTTTCACTGTGTATAATATCAAGAAAGAAAACACCTTTAAAAAGAGTAGGGGCTCTTTCCTTTTGCAGCCATTGCTGCAGTTTCAGCAGCCAAAAGGAGTTCAGTCCTTTTGTGACTTCCAACGGAAGCAAGAACCAAAATCTACCTTTCCACATTTGCAGGAAGATTATGTCTGCCCCTTTCCAAAAAGGTTAGACAGAAATACAATGTATGATCTATGCCCATCCAAAGGATGATGAGGTTCAGGTTGTGCGAGAACACTATAAAGGTCAGCAGATTGGCAGAGCACTGCAGGTTTACAGGAAGAAATATGTCAGGAGCACTAAACATTGAACAGGAGCAGCAGGAAAAGGCAAATGCCTCCACAACTGTCCACGTGGACATTCTCCCCAGCAAGGTGGTTATCACCAGGCTAAAACTGGACAAAGACTGCAAAACATCCTGCAACAAAAAGCCAAATCTCACCAAGTAGGAAAGGAAAATGGCAAATACAAGGGTAGGGGATATGTATCATAATTTATGATACATATATACTTTAGAATGTTATTTAACTACAAGAATAAGTCAAGTTTACATGTACTGACCCGGAAAGATGCTTACAATATTAAATGATACAAAACAAGCTATAGAATAATATGTTTACCATGATCTCATATTTTTATTTTTAAAAGAAAAAAAAAGAAACCTGTATAGGCGCTGGGGATTTAGCTCAGTGGCAAAAGCACCTGCCTGGCAAGCGCAAGGTCGTGAGCTCGGTTCCCGGTACCGGAGGGGAAAAAAAAAAAAAAGAAACCTGTATAACATCAGATTTTTTAGAAACTCCTATTTATATACTTAATTCCCCAAGTGACCAATAAATACACCTTAGCTTTGGATATATTTACTGCTTTATTAAAGGTGTCACCATCAAAATATTACTGTCTAATAACACCTTTAATCAAGGTACATTTACAGGCATTATCAGCACTCAATCCTTTGGAATGTTCTACAATGGAAAAGAATATGAACAAACAAAACTACTTTTAACAGCAACTGTTCTATAGTTTTGTCTTTTATTTTTAGTTGCCAAGATAAAAATGCTTTTTGTGGATAAATGATACCGGAGATTGAACTCAGGGCAGCACACTGAGCAACCTCCTTAGACCTCTTTTTATTATTTACGTTTTTCCTAAAGTACCCAGAACAGGCTCAAAATTAACCATCTTCCCGCCTCAGTCTCCTAGAGTGCTAGAATTACGGCATGTGTCACCTGTCACGCTCTGCTTAAAAATACTTTTTAATGCTGTAATTTTACACTTACAAAAAAAAAAATCCAAAGATTTTCTTCTCTAGTAGCAGAAATAAGCTATTTCAGTCATTTCATTGAGAAATGTAATTACGTTCATTATACGGACATAAACAAGGGGCAGACATTATGTTAAACCAATTTCACTCTATCAGAAATTGAATTTTCTCAGAATGATATTCATTCTTAGCAATAAACTCATTGATATTGCAATTTAAAAATCCTATTCCACAACTAAACTCGGTATGTTAATATAAAGTCTCAAGCAGCCTGGTATAATTAAAGGAGCACTTGATTTGGTATCTGACACATCTAAGTTCCAATCTCGGCCCTGCTACTTCCTAATGATGTAGTCTTAGACAAATTATATAATCTCCAAGTTTGTTCCCGCATCTGCAAAAATAACTTTCTATGTTTTCTAGGAAGGTGAAAAGTCTGATTATCAAAATATTCTCCCTCCTGACTTTTTCCCCTAAGGGGTCAGATTAGTAACCGGCAATGTCTTTTAGTACTGTCTTTTATAAGACAGAAAAACAGGGGCTGGGGATTTAGCTCAGCGGCAAAAGCGCCTGCTTGGCAAACGCAAGGTCGTGAGTTCGGTTCCCGGTACCAGAGAAAAACCAAAAAAAAAAAAAAAAAAAAAAAAAAAAAAAAAAAAAAAATAAGACAGAAAAACAAAAAAAGAGAAAAAAGGAAAGATAGGTGCTGTGGAGCACACCTGTGGTTACTCGGGAGGCTGAAGCAAGAAGTTTGCTTGATCATAGCAGTTTAGAGACATCCTAGGTAACACAGCATGAATCCAAGTCTCTTTAAAAAAAACAGCAAAGAAAAATCAAAAGTCTGCTAGCTGATATATATAAAAGTAAGGTTTTATTTTCCATATTTTTGCATTTCCAGATGAAAAATATGTTAAATGTTCTCTATTTGGGGCTCTTTTTCCTAGAATATTTTTCAGATTTATTTTTATATATGTTCCCTGTTTCTGGTGCAATTATTTGATGCATACTTAACTATTTCAGACGAACTTTTCTCTCAGAAAATCATGAGAACATATGTTATGTCCTACCTGTGGCAGTCGACATCTGCAGATAACTTCCTCTAAAATCACTCCGACTGTGTCTTTGGAAACCACTTTCAAGTATTACAGAGGAGAAAAAGAGCAGATAACCAAAACTTCAAGCCATTCTAATCCACTGTAATGTGTCTAAAAAGTTAACTCCACAGGATGTCAAATAGCAGTATAACAAAGAATTAGTAAATTTTTTTTATTTTAATATAACTTTCAACTTCTTCTAAGGAGTCATTTTTTTCTGTAAAGTGGGATTATTAATATGGCCAGAGGGCCGGGGATATAGCTCAGCGCCACAAGCACCTGCCTGGCAGGCGCAAGGTCCTGAGTTTGATTCCCGGTACTCAAAAAAAAAAAAAAAAAAAAAAAAAGGCCAGAATATGATTGTGAATGCTACCTCAGTGGACCCGCATATAAGGCATATTGTTTAACTTTTACTATTTAAAGTGAACATTCTTTCATCATACAATACATTAATACAATTATAAATACAGTAAACTGAATAGCTCTTCTGGAATTGAGAACGGAGAGTATCATTAGCTCCTCTTTCAAATTTAGTTGTACTTCAATCAGATTTACTTGATGCTCTTTGATACACTTTGATACACTTCTCTTTTACAAAGTATCATCTCGCTTTCCAGTTATTCCTCAGTTTAAACTATACTACTGAAGGTACTTTTTTTGCTTGCTTTTCTAACGGTGTTTAAGATGACAATGAAGCTCAAATGCATGCAAGAAGTACTTCACCTTACTTTCCTATATTTAGTTACACTCTTTCAGCTGACTTTTAAGTAGCACGCCTGTTTTTAAATCAAAACTTATCACTGTGATTCTTCAAAACTCTCTCTCCACCCTGAGCTCTTTGAAATCCTAAAGTTCTCTAATCAGAAAGCACCTGTTATCCGTGCTTTCTCCTGGTCGTCCACAATTTCACACTCCAACTCTGTATTTCACACCCCTTCACTCACTGAAACGCCGCCGACCGTGTGAAAGAACTTAACGTAGTTCCATTTGCGCAGAATCTTACTTTTCCTTTGATAAACGTCAACTTCACCGTAATTCCCCCTCAGCGTTCCCTCACCTTCTAAATTCCGGTCAACCCTGCCGCGAAGCAACAAATACAACCCTACCGTGACGCCCCAACTCATCAGTTCGGCGCCCCTAACAGAAGAATTTAAACCTCCAGACGCCTCGTTTCGGCTCCCCGTTAACGATTCCCACGTACTAGCGTTCTCATCCTGCCCGGCCAGCCTCCCTCTGGACTGTCAACTGCAAGGTCTCTTGCTGCCACCGGCAAGCGTACGACCGGGTCCGGTGCGCGTCTTCCCGCATTCCCGGTGGCTCCTTCCACTACTGCGCACCCGCCCCTCCGCGAGCCCGGCCCCCGCCCACCACCCCCCAAAGGTCCCGCACGCAGGTCCCCACCTCCCCACGAGAACACCCCTCGCCGGCCACCGCCGGGCTGCCTTCCGGCCGGACTTCCCAAAGGACCTGGGCTCGCCGATGTCCTCCGCAAGCCCCCGCTGCCCGCGGAGTTCGTCCCGCGCGCTCTCGCTTCCCGGCCCGCCTACTTCGGGGCGACCCTCTGGCCCCGGGAAGCCCAGCCTCGCGACCTCTGCCCCGCGACCTCGCGGGCCCAGCACAGCCCCCAGGATCAAGGCCCCCGTTCCCGGAGCTGGCGCCCTCCACGCCCCCCGCCCCGGGGCGAGCCCCAGGGTGGACGGACGCCCCCGGCTCCGGCCGCGGCGCCTCCCGGCCCGGCCCCTGCCCCAGCGCTCAGCCCGCCGCGCTCGGCTCCTCACCCAGCTTCGACAGGGACTCCTCCTGCTTCTGGACCTTGTTCAGCAAAACGAACATCGCCACGGCGAAGACCACCACCGCCAGCAGCTGCAACTTGGGCGGCATCATAATCCTGAGGAGCCCCATGAAACCCGCCGCTCGGGATCAAGACATACCGCGGGGGGCGGGGAGCGGGCCCCGGAGGCGAGCGCGGCGCGGGGAGGAGCCCGCCGAGCCCGG